TGATTGCTGCCTCCTGTACAATGTCATAAACCTCCATCCATACTTCTTCAGGCACTCTGTCTATCAAATCTAGTCAAACCTATTGTTCACCTCCACTGTATATTCATCAGTGATATGCTCTGGGTCAAACCTGAATGGCCTAGTGGTTTAAGAACATAAGAACATAAGAGACGCCAATGTTGGATCAGGCCAAAGGCCCATCCAGTCCAACACTCTGTGTCACACAGTGGCCAGAAATACCAGTGCCATCAGGAGGTCCAGCAGTGGGGCCAGGACATTAGAAGCCCTCCCACTGTTGACCCCCCCCCCAAGCACCAAGAAGACAGAGCATCACTTGCCCCAGAGCCCCTAGCTATACCTTGTGGCTAATAGCCACTGATGGACCTCTGCTCCATATGCTTATCTAATTCCCTTTTGAAGCCGTCCATGCTTGTAGCACCCACCACTTCCTGTGGCAGTGAATTCCAAGTGTTAATCACTCTTTGGGTGAAGAAGTACTTCCTTTTATCCGTTCTAACCCGACCGCTCAGCAATTTCATGGAGTGCCCACGGGTTCTTGTATTGTGAGAAAGGGAGAAAAGTACCTCTTTCTTTACCTGCTCTTTCCCATGCATAATCTTATAAACCTCGATCATGTCACCCCTCAGTCGTCTTTTCTCCAAGCTAAAGAGCCCTAAGCGCTTTAACCTTTCCTCATAGGGAAAGTGTTCCAACCCTTTTATCATTCGAGTTGCCCTTTTCTGCACTTTTCCCAAAGCGATAATATCCTTTTTAAGGTGTGGTGACCAGAACTGCACACAGTATTCCAAATGAGGTCGCACCATTGATTTATATAGGGGCATTATGATATTGGCTGATCTGTTTTCAATACCCTTCCTAATAATCCCCAGCATAGCCAGTGACTGGGGTTCAAAAGGGGTTGTCTTTTGGGGAGCGCGACAAACTGCAGCGAGGAGTGTGGACGGGAAACGATTCTCACCCGTGGTTTGCAGCTGCAGAGCTTTGAGGTCCAGTTTATTGTTGCAGCGGCTGCTGTTGCACTGGTACAGCTGGGAGAAGGCGATGATGCCGTGTAGCTCAACCGCTTTGTCGTTTTGCCCGGGCATGCCCAGGCCGCAGCCCTTCTCGCCAATCAAGAAATTCCCGTGACCTGCAGATGGGAACAGAAGATACACAAGGAAGTCAGGGACGGGGATCTAACCCGCAGGGTGGAACCTGATACTGCAAAGGAGCAAAACTGCTCATGCCTCTTCCCCCATCTTCTAATTAACACACGACATTATCACGTTATGCACGACATTATCACGGTATGCCAAGTTAGGGGGGCACAGTGTGATGATGCCACCACCAAGCATTATATTTGCATGGGCTGAATGGATAGGGTGCAGATTCTCTGTTTTGCATTAATTGCTGCTGCAAAGGCAAAGGCATTCACAGTAAGTGAGGAGCAGGCACACAGGAGCTTTCCAAACCCTTCCCTTAGTCGACTGCTTTTTTCTCTGCATCATTTCCCCCTACTGCACCACCAGAAGGTTTTTTCCCCCTGTAGGTGCTATAGCGCCACGGGAGCTCTATGCTTCCCAGATGTGGTGGTGAGATCGCGCCCGGAAAATCCACCTATCTTCCGTCGCAGTAGCGTGGCTACTGCTCCGTGTGACCGCAGCCAAGGAGATGCTGGTGCATAGAATGCAATGTTCTACAGGTCTCATATGGGGAGAAAGGTAGATCCTTTTGCGCTGGACTGGAAGTTCAGCCTTTCTGTCGTACATGCGGGGTGGGGGAGGAAGGGAGTCTGTGGGTTCAGTATTCCCTGCAACATCTGTCTAACTTCCCTCAGAGATGTTATGGAGGCAGAATACCTGACTGTACTCCCTTAGCACACAAGAATTGCACTGCTGGATCCAACCGAGGTTCATCGGTTGTTGTGTTCCAGCAACAGCTGGCAGGATGCTTCTGGGAAACTGGCAATTAGGTCAAGATGGGAATGGCGTTCCATTACGGCGTGTTTCCCAGCATCATGCCATTGGAGGTATTTTACTGTACTAGCTATCCAGCTATCATGGCTAATAATAGCATGGCTAATAATAATGCTCCGCGAATGTGTCTAATCCTATTTTTTTAAGAGCTATTGCTCACCCACCTTGTGGCAGTGAGTTCCATAAGCTAATTACACCCTGAGCAAGGAGCTTAGCGGCATAGTTTGCCAATGCAGTGGGTAGAAGCTCTTAATCCTCAGCCTCCTTCATTAACACATTCCATTTCGATGCTCTTTCTAAGCTGCTGGCAGAACCTACCAAGCCTGGCTTCCTGGCATGGCTTCCTTTTAACCAACACTGAGGCTAAAAGAACTTGTTTTTAGTGATGGGTCTTGTCCCTGAAAATATGCCGAATAAGCAGACTTCCTTTGAACGTCTTGCCAACGGCCTTTCCCTCAACCAGGGCTATAGCCATCTCCCCTCACTAGGGGGAGCTGCTATATTTTCTGACAGAGCTTTAGAGAAACAAGGGGGGGGGGAATTCAGTTTTTCCTCATCGCTCACAGGAGTTTCTAGAATCTTCTTGCCAAGCCAGTGTGTTTATGGCTGCCTCGAGATGCCACAAAATGTTGGTAACAGGCAGGAACTCAGGTTGTGGTCATGCTCACATCTGAAGGTTTCCTGGGTTTGGTGGCCTTGACTCAAACTCCGATGTGCCATGATAACCAAATGTAGGCACCTGGGAAAACTGGACGTTATTTCCTCCTAGGATTCTAAATCGGAAGGAAGTGGTTTAGAGCTCTGCTCTCACCACTGAACAATCCTAAAAGGCACCAGGGAGAAAAGGTGAAGGTCCAAAAGGCAAAACTAGGGTTGCCAGGCAGTGCCTAACAACTACTGGGAGGGCTGTATGTGGGGGGGGGGGAGGCATGCAACATTACAGAGTATTTTTTTAAAAAAATACAGCTACACATACTCATCAGAAGTTGATACAGGAAGTGACGAGGGTAGCTCTAGGAATCACTGAAAACTCTATGGTAAAACCATAGAGTTTCTGGTGATGCCTAGAGCAACCCTAGTCACTTCCTGTAAAAGGTCTGGTGAGTACACAAGGCTGCTTTCCCCCCCCTTTTATTCCCCACCACCACCGCTCGGAGCAGCAGTGAGCGATGGGACCTGGGGCTTGCCAAACCTATCTCAGATGGGCTCAAACCCCAAGACTTCCTTTTGGAGAAATTAAAGAAGGGGAAACGCCTACTCACTCCACTGCACGGCAGCCACCGTTTCCATGCACACCTTGGTGGCCCCTGAGCACTTCATTTTCTTCATATTCTCTGGGCTGCAGCCACCATCGCCGACGTCCACGCAGCTGTGGCACTCCAAGGCCAAGGCACCTGCACAAAAGCACAGTGGGGAAGAGTTGATTTCTTGCTCATTAATGAAATGTATCACCCTATTACATTTATAGCTCACCCTTCCTCCATGGAGTAGAAGAACCCTGCTGGATCAGACCAGGGGACCACCAAGCCCAGCATCCGATTGGCACACAGTGACCAACCGGTTGCCTTGGAGGCCAAGGCCGTCCAATAGATGTTGCCTCTTGTTACTGGCAATCAGAGCGTTACTGCCTCTGAATATGGAAATTCCCTTTACTCCCCACGGCTAGTAGCCACTGATTGAACTCTCTTCCACACATCAGTCCAACTCCTTTTAAAAGTCATTTATGCTCATGGCCATCACCAGTGGTCATTTCGGAGGGGAACGTGGGGGAACGCAGTTCCCCCGGGTGAGGTGCAGGGGGCGGGGCACATGATGAAGCCCCGCCCCCTGCTTCCGGCCGCCCCGCTTCCAGCCCTCATTCAGCCAGGAGGAGGCAGGAGAAAAGGGAGGGTAAGTTGTTTCCTCCCTGCCTCTCCCCACCCCTGCCTGCCTGGGGCCAGGGAGGGCCTTGGCGGGGCTTCCTCGCACTCCTGCTGGCCTTGCAGGTCCACCGCCGGGCCCCTGATGTCAGGGGGTGTGGCATATGCTAATGAGTTATGCTAATGAGTTCTCCTCGCTCTTTTTCTACGAAATGACCCCTGGCCATCACTACATCCGTCAGCAGTGAATTCCAGAATTTAATGACGTTGAGCAAAGCAGTATTTCTATTTGTCTGTCCTGTACTTATTTCCCATCAACTTCATTGGGTGCCCCCCAAGCCACAGTATTACGGGAAAGAGAGAAAAAGCTCCTTTCTGGAACTCAGGGCAATGTCTACGGTTCTTCCATCCCACAGTCTATTGTCACAACAACCCTATTAGGGAGGCCAGCCCCATCTCTCAGCCTAGCCTAAGTTCATCCGGTGAGTTTTAATGGTTGCCACTGGCTCTAGTCCTACAACCATCTCACTTTGCTGGTACAAAAATGTTTTGGGACCAACCCTTCTGGAAGCTGATGAAAATTAAGTATTCTTGTAAGCACTATTAATTCTAGGCGGATCTCTGGGCAGGGGCATCCCATCGTCTCATTGATTTAGAAAGAGGTGCCAAAGTTTCCCTGCGCATGTTTTTAGGAAGGCACCCGTAACTTCATCCTTTCCCCCAAAGCCAGCGTTTGACTCCATTTATGTCCGTCTCATTGATTAAGAAAGAGGTGCCAAAGTTTCCCTGCACATGTTTTTAGGAAGGCACCCGTAATTTCATCCTTTCCCCAAAGCCAGCGTTTGACTCCATTTATGTCTACTTTATTTCTATCCTGCTTTCCTCCCCAACGGGAATTCAAAGCGGCTTACAACACTGCCAATCCCCTCCTCATTTTTTGATCCCCGCAGCAAGGACCCTGTGAGGTAGATTCAGCTGTGTGAGAGTGACTGGCCAAAGATCCCCCGTCAAGCTTCCATGGTAGATTGGGGAATTTGAACCTGGAGTCCCTTAGATCCTAATCCTCTAACCCACCTGTGTACGTGCAAAGAGAAGTACATCCTCAGCTATTCCCTAGATGGATGGTGTATTGGGTCATGCACACAGTAGAGTTTTGAGTGAGGCCTGTGCTCTCCCACAAAGACCGTGAGGCGCACTTTTGGTCTCTTTCCTGGTACAGGCCATCAATGTTCCCTATAAGCTATGGAGCTTTGTGAGCAAAAATTCGACTTTGTAAGCTACTGGCATTAAAGTTGTGAGCGAGCAATTTGGCTACTGCGTAAATCAGTTTGCTCTGGAGCCATCCTTCCTGAGCTAAGAGAAAAATCTGTGAGCCGGAGGATAAAAAACTGTGAGCTAGCTCACACTAACTCACCTTAGAGGGAACACTGCGAAGGCCATCCTGGGCTAGAACGGCCTCTGATTTCTGCATTGTCTCCAGCTAGATAAATCCTGATAATGGGCATCATTTCTTCGCCACCCCCTTGCTATGAACCACTAAAAGGGAGGCTAGCAGCCAGTGGATAATTCAAGCAAATATTCAGTTAAGCAAGTTCTTTTCAGGGAGTGGCCTCAAAATGGCCTCCTCCGAGGCAGCCACAGCGGCTTCCTTTCTCAAGGAGGCATTTCGACACAACCAACCACCCTCCCTTAGTTTGATATAATTAGGCAGGAAAGGAACCGATCGAAGAGACGAGGGGGAAGGCGGGATGCTTCGGAAGACTCGGTTCACATCCTCCGGCTGCAGCAGCCGGAATGCCACCAAGCCAAAGCACCAATCAGGAGCTAGGGCAATATCCGGTCATCAACAGCTGGGTCCAATCAGAGTAGTCGCCAGCAATTTTCTCCACAAAGTGCCCTAGTGCCATGCCCATAGCAGGATGGTGGCGACGGCTCGCGAATGCGGTTCCTGGAGCCACACCGAGCAGATTTCTCCATCACTCAAGACTGTACGAGAATGACGTCTTATGGGGATTTTTTAAATCTACAATGTGCCTCACCAAAGCGCCCTACCTAATTTTACCTACAAAGTGCCCCACCAACATGCCACAGCAGGATGTTGATGGCTTACCAAAGTAGTTCCTGGAGTCCTTGCCGAGCAGATTTCCCGTCTCCTGAGACTGTACAAGAATGACGTCTTACGGGTGTCGGAACACCGGTGACTCGCGGTCACCCTGTAGGGCAGTGATGGCGAACCTTTTAGAGACCGAGTGCCCAAAGTGCGACCCAAAACCCACTTATTTATCGCAAAGTGCCAACACGGCAATTTAACCTGAATACTGAGGTTTTACTGTAGAAAAAAACAAATCATCCATTAACTTAAGATGATCCAAACAAAGTAAGGAAAGCAATCCCAAATGCTTTCATTTACTTAAAATTATTTGGCAGAGAATTCGACACTTTAATGATGGTCTGGGCCTGGCTGGGGCGATGGCACGTGTGCCCACAGAGAGGGCTCTGAGTGCCACCTCTGGCACCTGTGCCATAGGTTCGCCACCACTGCTGTAGGGTCTGCAAGGCAAGTGGTTTTGCCATGGCCTGCCTCTGTGTAGCAACCTCGGACTTCCTTCTTGGTCTCCCATCCAAGTACTGAGTGGGGCCAACTCGACTTAGCTTCTGAGATCTGACGCAATCGGGCTCGCCCGGGCCATCGAGGTCAACGCGTCAGAACGCCAACAGGACTTTCATATATGTCACAATGCATGGCATGTAGGGACATGACATTTGGATGCCGAATAAGGAACGGCCGATTGGAATAACAAAACAGGCAGCTGCCTGATTTAGCATACCACGGCTGCCGCCGGTAGTTAGCTGGAATTGGCAAACAGCAGGATTCAGGTTGGACTATAAGGAAGGCCGAGTGCCGAAAAATAGATTCTTTTGAACTGTGGTGCTGGAGAAGACTCTTGAGAGTCCCTTGGACTGCAAGGAGATCAAATCAGTCAATCCTAAAAGAAATCAACCCTGACTGTTCCCTGGAAGGCCAGATAATGAAACTGAAGCTCAAATACTTTGGCCACCAAATGAGAAGGGAGCACTCCCTGGAGAAGACCCTGATGCTGGGAAAGATTGAAGGCCAAAGAAGACGGGGATGGCAAAGGATGAGATGGTTAGACAGTGTCATAGATGCAACGAACATGAAATTGAGCCAACTTCGGAGGACGGCGGAAGACCGGAAGGCCTGGCATGATCTGGTCCATGGGGTCGCGAAGAGTCGGACTCGACTGTGCGACTGAACAACAACAAAAGGATTCAGAGTGTTGGATCCACCAGAAGAGTTTGCATAAGTGTCAGCAGAAGAGATCTTTCCCTGTCCCAAGAATTCCTCTCTGAGGAGCGGGAGAACCTCACAAACTGGACAGGGTGAGGCTGGAGCAACAAGGGCGGAATCAGCTAAAACGACCACTTTCCCCCTTCTTCCATATACAGCTTGCACCAGTGGAGGACGGGGAAAGAAGCTCTTCAAGTTGATTTGCCCTCATTGTCGCAGTCTTGTAGCTCTGCTTGTGAGGTTCTCCCGATCCTCAGAGAGGACTTTTGGGACAAACACTAGGCCGTAAGAACATAAGAGAAGCCATGCTAGATCAGGCCAATGGCCCATCCAGCCCGACACTCTGTGGCACAGTGGCCAAAACCCAGGTGTCATCAGTTTGGTGTAGTGGTTAAGTGCGCGGAATCTAATCTGGGAGAACCGGGTTTGATTCCCCACTCCTCCACTTGCACCTGGCTGGATGACCTTGGGCAAGCCGTAGATCTGATAAGAGCTGTCCTTGAGAAAGAGCAGTTTCTGTCAAGAGCTCTCTCAGCCCCACCGACCTCACTGGGTGTCTGTTGTGGGGAGGGGAAGGGAAAGGAGTTTTTAAGCCGCTCTGAGACTCCTCTCTTGGGTAGTGAAGGGCGGGGTATAAATCCAATCTCTTCTTCTTCATCATCAGGAGGTCCACCAGTGGGGCCAGAGGGCCACTTGGGGGAAGTCAGGGAAAGACCCACCAATACCTTCCACGAAGTCTTCCGTGGACTCGACCCACTGTCCCCAGACAGCCCCACATTTGCCCACACAGTTTCCCCCCCATCGAGATTTGATCTTACAACAAGCTCCTGTTGATATTAGGTAGACGCACCAGCCAGTTTGGTGTAGTGGTTAAGTGTGCGGACTCTAATCTGGGAGAACTGGGTTTGATTCCCCACTCCTTCACTTGCACCTGCTGATGTGACCTTGGGTCAGTCACAAGCTCTGGCACAGCTGTTCCCGAAAGAGCAGTTTGTGTCAGAGTTCTCTCAGCCCCACCCACCTCACAGGGTGTCTGTTGTGGGGAGGGGAAGGGAAAGGAGTTTGTAAGCCGCTCTGAGACTCCAAGTGAAGGGCGGGGTATAAATCCAATCTCTTCTTCTCTTCTTCTTCTTCTTCCGGCGGTTTTGGTCCGTCATTGACGGAACCACCACCTGTATCTTTCCACCCCGCCTATGAATCTGCAGATCTCTCCCGTAGCCTCATT